GAGGGCGGTTTTTGTGCGAGGACTACGTTTGCCAGCCATGAGGGGTACTTGACCTCCTTGATGTGCTTGATAGAGAGGAGCATGGCGACCTCCTTCTTCACAAATTCTCTCCTCTCGGCTGAGAGGGGTCTCCTCTGTTGCTGTACTGGTTTGGCCGAAGGGTCCACCGAGAGGCGGTGGGTGATGACCCTTCGGCTGATACCCGGCATGTCCTCCGCCCCCCATGCAAAAACAATGGAGTAGACACGGAGGGCGCTGATGATGCCGGTCTTCAAATCTTCGGGGAGCTTGGCTCCAATCTTCACGACTCTCTTCGGCTTGGCTGGATCGAGCGCGGAGTCTTCTACCTCCTCGGCTGGTTCAGCCCTCGGCCTCCTTTCTTCCGCTTCCACAGTTCCGGTGATGGTGTCAACGCGGAACTCCGTCTTGCTGATCTTCTTTGTAACTTGAAGGTAGCAAGCGTGGGCAAGTTTTTGGTTCCCCCTTGAGAAACCGATTCCCCCCTCGGCTGGGAACTTGAGGCAGAGGTGCCTCATGGAGATGACGGCTTCGAGGTCCTCGAGGGCCGGCCGGCCGAGGATGATGTTGTGGGCGCAGTCGATGTTGACGACGACGAACTCCACTTCGAGCTTGGCTCTATGGAGACCGTCGCCGAAGATGACCGGGAGGGTTATGACCCTTCGGAATCAATGGTGTCACCGGTAAAACCGGCAAGAGAGGTCTTGATGGGCCGAAGGGACCCCCTCTCCAGATGCAGCTCTCTGAAGGTGCTGAGGTACATTACATTGACGGAGCTGCCCGTGTCAATGTAAGTTCTGTGAATAATGGTGTCGTTGATCTCTGTGCGGATGACGAGGGCATCCCTGTGGGGGGAGGATACTGGGGGGAGATCAGCGTTGGTGAAGATAATGGGTTCCTCCCTCAGCCGCTTTACCGAGGGCATATGAGTGACTTCCCCCACGTAGAGTGATTGAGCCCACTTCTTTCGTTGACTTGTAGAGTCACCCCCGATATTTCCCCCCGTAATCATGAGGATGTGGCGTTTCTTTTCTTGGTACCGGGGGTACTCCTCCTTTTCTTCCTCCAGATTTCCAATCTCCCTCTTCTTGTCGAGGGGGATGGTGTTGGGGTTGACCCATGCATTCCCTCTCGCGGTTTGCCCTCGGGATGGCCCCTGATGAGGGGAGGCCTGTTGCTGAGGGCCCTGGACAAACTGGGACAAATGGCCCGCTTGTATCAATTTCTCGATGGTCGTCTTCAGCTGATGGCAATCATCGGTCCTATGCCCCTGGTGTCGGTGGAAACGACAGTAGGGGTAGTTTGGATTGATGGCAAATACTTTCGAGGGTGCGCGTGAATCTCGCTCCACGAGGCCCCTCTCCTCAGCAAAATCCAGGATAACGTTGACGGGGTGCGTCAATGGTGTCCGAGGGTGCTCCAAGAGGACAGGCTGTGCCCAAGCCCTCGGGTTCCCCTTGTAGCCTCCCCCGAGCTTGGCTTGGCCATGACGGGGGCGATCACCGGAGGGGGCAGACTCCCTGGGATGATTACATGGAGCCCCCGGCCCCCGGTCACCTCTGTCTTCTGGCCGAGGGCGTTGCTGATCCGGGACATGGTGGCATTTCTCCACCTCCTCGGCCTCGGCGTACCGGTCCCCTCACTGTAGGGCCCTTATGTAATCGCGGGGGGGGGGGGGGGGGGGTTCGATGATGAGGCTTCTGGAGAAGTTCCTGAGGCGGAGTACTGTTTGTAGGAGGGCCAGGAGGGTCTCGTCGTCAGCGCCGTCAACTTTATCAGCCTCCGTCCTCCAGCGCTCCAGAAAGTCCCGAAGGGTCTCCTCCTTCCTCTGCATCACTGTTAGCAAGTGGGAGAAGTGTTTTCTCGTGCGGCGCCTTCCCGCAAATTGCGTCAAGAATCGCTGAGCGAGTTCCTGCCATGAGTCAATACAGCCCTCGGGGAATCGGTTGAACCATTCGTACGCCGACCCCGCTAAGGTGGAGAGGAACCAGCGGCACAAATATTCATCCGATGCCCCCACCATCATCATACTGTTTTGATACCTGCTGTAGTGCTCTTGGGGGTCAGTCTTTCCGTCATAGGGCTTGATGAGCTGCCCTCGGTATTTTTCCGGGATCCGAGCCGCCAATACCCTCGGGGTAAATGGCGTCCGGGTCCGGAGCTGTATGGTGGGCTCCCCGGAGCCCTCGGCTATCTTCTTCTGCATTTCTTCCATCTTGGCCATCATCGCCTCATACTTGAAGTCCGCATGAGGGGCAGAAGTGGTGGCGTGGGCTTTGGTGGCCTCCATCTCGTCAAGCCGGCGCTGGAGGGCCGCAATGATTTTGTCCCGGGGGTCCTTCTGGAGGGCCTCCGCCCTGCGAATGGACCCGGGCCGAGTGGGCTTGATTGATTTGATGGCGTGCGTCGTCGGCATGGAGAGGTGCCTTGCCCTTGTCCTGAGGGGGACGTCTTTCATTGGCCCTAGAAACGGACCCGCCACTTTCCTGAGGCCTTTGGAACGCCCTCCCCCCGAGGCGGTCTTAGACCCCTCGGCGGTCTTGCGCCCCTCCGAGCCTCTCGAGGGTGGAGGTCCGGAGGTGCTCCTTGTTCACGTCGTGGCGGTCCCGGGACTGGACTTCCTGGGAGGCCGTGTCTTGGGCCACGACCCCCTCGGAGTTCCCCATCCGGAGGACCGGGTTACCGAGGGGTCGTGGATGAGGGGGAGGCAAAATATTCTCCCCCACCTGAGGTTGGAGGGGAACCAAAGTGCCGAAGGCACCCGGGTTCTGGGTGAGCGTCTGGATGAAGGCGGAGAGCGCCGATTGAACGTCGATGGTAATGACCGGAGGACTAATTTGATTTTTTCTCCGGTCCTTTTTTTGGCCTCGATGCCGAGGCGGGCATCGGGGGCGTTTTGTTGAATCTGCTAGCGTAGGTCGACAGCCGTCTGGTCCAACCCGACGATGACGCCGCCCCCGGGAGCCCTGTTAGAGGCATCGGGGACGTCGACCTCGCCGAGGGCCAGGTTCCTGTCCTCTACATTCTTGGAGTTGGCACGAGTTGTTCTCACCATTTTGGGTGGGTGTTTTTGTGTTTGGTCGAGGGGGAGAGTTTCTTACTTGATTGTTCGACCTCTCAACGAGAGCACCAAATGATGGATAGTGTACTTGGGGGGTAGCTTATCCGAGGGGTTATTACGGGGAATAACAAGAGAGAGGTCAGAGCAAGTAAATATAGAGAGAGAAAGTATATTGTAAAGTGTTTAGCGTTTTCAGCGTGGTTACAAATGGGGAAATGGGGAGCTATTTATAGTAGCAATAAATGCCGGACAGGGACACGTGTCAAGCGTTCATTGGCCGAGGGGTCACCTCAACTGGTTGGCGCTGGCAACCGCATGTGCGGCTGTTGGATGGGACGTTGTGCAGGGTACGGTGATCTGTACGCATGTGGAGCGGATATTGTGTCGGAAGAGGCGCCCTCGGCAGTAGAAGACTAGCCGAGGGCTCTGTGTACCGGGGACCCCCTTAGTGCCGAGGGCTCCCATTGCCGAGGGCTACTGATTTTCGCCGTTTTTCCCAGTAATTTTGTTTTCCTGTCTTAGCCCTCTTGTGAGAGTCAGAGCCTTCAGCCAGGGGGCCGAAGGCTCCCCTAGTGCGCATTGTGGGCTGCTTGGTACCCTGGACGCTGTGATTTGGGCCTGTTGTGCTCTCTGGGTTTGTTGGGCCTTTATTGGAGTAGTAGGAGTCTGTGGGCCGGGGGTTCCCGGGCCATATACTCCATCAAGGAGAATAAAAGAGTCAAAGCGATAAAAATAAAAAAGGGAAAAGTTTTAGAAAAAAAGAAAAATGATACGTGGGACCGTTTGGAGAAGATTTGTAAAAGGTGGGATTTATAGTTGAATGATGTACAAAGAAAATGAAAAACATTGAATAGCAGGTCATCAACCGGTGAGAGACCAGCGAATGAAGATGTGATGTAAATGTTGTATTATTCATGAATAACGATAAAATGTGACCAACGAATGAATACCGCTAAAAAGTTGAATTTTTAATTTCCATTTTCCCAAATTATTATCGCAGAATCACTAAATGTGAGGATTATTCTTGTGAATTTCACTATTATTAATACGTAATATAAATCTATTCCACAATCAATTTGAAAAAACTGATACAAAACACGTTTTAATAGACGTCTTAATCCGCGTTTGGATCTACTTCTACAACTGCTACTAAAAACAAATATTAGAGCCCGTTTGGTAACACGAAAATCGGCTGATTCTGCTGAAATTTATGAAGTTCTGGGCTGAAGTGACTGTATTGGCTGATTCTGCTGATTTGAGAAAAAATTATTTTGAAAATATATTGTATTAATAAAATAAAGAAAAAATTATATGTAAAAATAGCCTAAATGATCATCTAGAGTAACTTCGGCCAATACAGCCAGAAAAGTAACTTTCACATTACTTTTTTTATTATTAAACAATTCAGCGCGTGAAAACAAAAGTTACGTGTTTGGTGAAAAAGTTGACTGGAATCTGATAAGCCGAAAATAAGTGTTACCAAAAGGCTTCTTAGGGGGTGTTGGGAACTGATTCTGCTTCTACTTCATTTTTAAAACAGAAGCAGAATCAGAATAAGTTTTCAGAAATTTATCACCCCCAACTTCTAAAAAAATGATTCTAGGAATAAATTAGAGCACCAGAATCACTTTTTCACTTTCACACAAACACTCTAACTTCTGCTTCGGCTACCTGAAACGGAAGAAGCAGTTTTAAGAATCACTACCTAAAAAACTGATTCTATGGCGGACTTCCCCAGCCTTCACAGTTTGATACTTTGATGTATTAAGGGGGTGTTTGGATCTGATTCTTAAAACTGTTTCTGCTCCTTCAGCAGAAGCAGAAGTAGAAGTTGGAGTGTTTGGGTGAAAATGAAGAAGTGATTCTGGTGATCTAATTCTTTTTTAAAATGATTCTGATTTGCTTCTTCTTCAAAAAACAAAAGGAATCCTTTCCAAACACCCCTAAAACCTGAAACAAGACCAGAATTCAAACTAGGAGGGAAAAACGGTGAGCAATGTGGTCTGAGCAGTAGCTATGGCGAACTTCTCGAGCCTTCTGCTCCAACTCCGTGAACGCATAGCCAGGCCGCGGAACCAGGAAAACGACGAAGATTTAGTGGTTCTCTTCCGCGGCGTTCTCCCCAATCTCCTCCACACCTATGTTGTCCCGTCGTCTTCCTCCGCAGGTCTATTTTCTGTTACCACACCACACCTCTCATTCTAAGTTATTGAATATACGTAAATTAATTTCTGTTACTTAACAGTTGTTTATTTGGACTTCTCGTCTAGACAAACAGAGAGAGGTCGTTGCCATACTAAAACTCTCCGCACATGTCGCCACCAACTACCCGGGAGTGTTTTATCACGGCAACCCCGCCGCAGTGTTGCCCGTGATTGGTCGCATACTACCTTTCTTTGCCGAACCTGCATTTCAGTGAGTCACTCAATGCAAGCCTTTTGTTCTATTTTTTATTTGTTTCGTTTTGGAATTTAGGTATCTGGTTTATGCAAATGTATCAGTTCCTTTCTGAGATTTTGGTATTGTGCGCGCTTTAAATGTAGCTGGCCGCTTACCATGTTATAAAATTGAAATATACCCATTGGGACTATCTCTTCAGACTCTAATTAAATTCTAGGAATGATAAAGTTGAGCTCTTACTTATCATATACTTTTTAAAACTATTTCCACCTTTTAGGGATCAACATGGGGTGATATTTGAAACACTTGTATCCTTGTTGTCGGTGCTTCGTGGTGGGGACCGAGATGCATATCGCCAATTTTTTATGGATGCAATGTCAATGGTTGAAGGTATTCTACGCTTTACATTACTATAAATGTGAAATGAGTCCCACACTTGTGTAATATTATTAGCATGAAGCATGGTTCATTTTAAAAAATCATTTCGATTGTGTGTTGAAAATGAACTCTAAGAAAGTGCTAATTTGTTATCCTCTTCTGTCTTCTTGTAGATCTTGCAGATGTGACTTTAGTTATAGACTGGAAATGCAATAAAGGATCAAGGACAGTGTCCTTGAAGTGTTTCCAGGAATCATTTTCTCGATTTTGGGACGATCCATCAATTTTCTGCGATCTTCCTCAGTGCTGTAAAGCAGATGATAGTACCAGCATGCTGATTAATCTTTCTGGGAAAGAAAGATGTCAACCTTTTGCTTCTTTTGCTATCAAGTTCCTTTCTCAATGCTTAACTGAAGGAACTCTTTATGTTGAAGGACTCTTGAATACTTCTTTCGTCTGGGTAGTCTGCAAGCTTTTGTGCTCTGGAGATACTGACCTGCACATGGTTGGTTGTTTGACTACATCTTACATTTATATTGCTTGTAGTACTACAAATATTCCTGATGGGGTGGTTCATGCATGACATAGCGCACTTTGATTGGCTGCTTTATCAATCAGGGGCTCCCTGATTAGAAAGACTGGGTAAGTCTGCCAATCAAATTGTGCAGAATGCCAAGCTTGGCAGAGAATTTTACTTTTCCTTGTCTAGATAAGCATGAAAGTGGAGGGCAAGTGAATCAAAGGACATTGAGGGTGAAATAGCTTCTCATTCTGTCAAACATTTTGCTTTAAAAAATTGGGAATATGGGATGAAAACTTGCAACTCCTTCCTCAATTGATGCCAATCACAAGACTTAGCTACTTTGACCTTCTAAGTACTTTCACTACCTGCATTTCTCTCTCTTCTTTCAATCAAATGAAGATTTTCTTCTCTATTCCTTTTCCCTCCTTTAATCAACAGCATTCTATTTCCTATAAATGTCCAACTATACAAACACTATATTGATATCAATGCTGCTTATATGACCATTAAAATCATATGCAAGGTATGTTTTGACTTTTTACGCCTTGTTGGGACCTTGAGTTATGAGATGATTCCTGCTGAAAGATTAATACAACTGATTGCATATATATTACGGGAAGGCAAAGGACTTCCAGTCTTCAGGTACTAAACTGAACACTTCTCTCTGATTAGTTTAACTTTTCTAGCTTTTTCCGCACTGTTAGACCATATCAGGCTTATTTTGAAGCTTAACAAAAAAAGGTTTAGTATAATTTTCCCAGCAGGCTGACTCAGCTCAGTAGGATTCTTTACTAGTTTAAACATGTGGTGATTCTGATGGTTTTATCTCACGTTGAAGATGTATTTTTTGACCTCTTTTATTATTCTCTCTCACAACTTTAAACTGCCAATATGTTGCAGAAACACCATGTACGATTCATCCATGGGGGGATGCCTTCACTTGTTACACTCCCATTGTCCAGTTGATGTTGTCAGGTCAACTGCTGTGGATTTGATGAATGTCTTTCCCCATTCATTGCTTGAAACAAGAAGTCAAGAACTCAAGGTTGGTTTAGTTTTCTTGCTTTTTTACTTCTGTTAACCCAGTTAGTACTTTTGCACATGAATTATTTTTCTTAATAACCTTATCAGTTCATGGCTTGCTTTCTGACAACCCTTGTAATTTTTGTTTTGTTTTCAGAGTGCTCTCTGCAGTGTATACTCTCGCATTGTTGAATATTGTCCACCTCATATCTGGAGACCCGAATATCTTATTGATTTGCTTTACTCTTCAAGGCCCATAATCCCATTAATAGAGTGTTTTGATGCTGCTTTATCTAGACTGCAATCTGATTCTTGTGGAGGAAAAATGACTATTGATGGTGCTACGTATTTATCATGCTCAAACTCCAGTCGATCTGAGAAACCAAAAGTTGGAGATAAAAGACCTCAAAACAGCAGTGAGACACCCCTAGCAAAACTTCAAAAGGTTGATGGTGAATTTGTGGGTTCTGGCATGAAATGTGATGAGTTAAATAAGCTTGTATGTGAATCTACATCGGCACGAGAGAAAGACTATGCTGACCAAATGCATAGCTCGTTGAAGGTATTCGTGCAACTTCTGGGACCTCCTATAGAAGATGTAAACTCATTGGCACCGGAAGTTGCACTGACAGCTCTCAGTACACTCTGCATTGTTTTCTGTAAATACCCATATAACAATCTCTTGCTTCTCTTTCTTCAAGTATTACAGCACATGTATGGATGGGTTTCTTGGATACATAAACAGGTCTGGTGCGTGTGTGCTTTTCTTTTTTGCTTGTTTCTTTTTAAGTTTATTGCTGGGACTGATGATTAGATGCTTGTGTTACTTAACTATTAAATCTGCAGGTGAGCCAAGGACTTCCAATACCCTTTGATTTTTCAATAGTACTAGAAGCTGTTAACAACCTTTTGGTTCTAAAAGGTATCATGATTTTATTGGACTTACCATTAAACACCTTACCTCCCCTCAAAAGCTTGCATGATACTCAGAATATGTAGATATGGAATTGACGAATCACTAGCTATAATTATATTTGTAAAATGAGAGATTTCGTTGCACGTACCTGAAAGATACTACCTCCGTCTCATTTTAGGTGTCTTGTTTCGGTTTGGCACAATTTCTAATAAAGTGGCTAAAAAAGTAAAAAGTTGTGGTTGACATTTGAGTATAATAAAGTGAAATTCTATTGAAATTTGAACCATACATTTCTTTCCAAAAGAGGAAATATGACACTTATGTTGGGACAACTCAAAAAAGAAAGTAAGACAGGTAAAATGAGACGCAGGGAGTATTTTTTTATTCAAGGCACAATATTTCAGTCATTTAAGTGTCGCAATTCAAATACCACCACGGACAAATATTTTACTTTGACCAGTAGTTGCCTATTCAACTGAACAAGTAATACTAATTACTCATGGAAAACTATCAAATATGTCCTCGTATTTCAAGTATAGTCACCATCTCCTTGCAGAAAAAACACCCAATCAAGTATGAAGTATCCGAGCATCTCAAAATCGTTCAAGTGAAACTTTTAGTAGTTAGCTCCAAGTAGTTGCCATATTATCTCTATTTTCTTCTTTGCCTTTTGCTTTTCCCCATAGCCTTTCATTTTTTTCCAAAAGAAGATGAATGAAACAGATCTAGAGGCTGAGGTTGGTGTTGAAGAAGAAAACACCAAATTCTCATTCAGATTTGGGTAGCTTGTGAGTCGTAGACCTGAGATTGCCATTAATGGTGTTTGGGAAACCCCCTGAAGAGTGAAGATGAGATAAAGTTCCGGCCCTAATTCACCTCTACGGCTCTACCAATTTAACTAATAACTCACCTAGTCACCCCTGAGCTCAACTACCATATAATCTCATAAATGGCCTTTGCTCGTAGAACATAAACCAGCAATCTTATTTGATATTCTATTTTAGAATTGACTCGTACAGCCCTGTTAATCTGTTATGGTCGTTGCCACCTCAAGCTAAAGTCTCATTAATTGAATGCCATTCTAACTCACCTCTGGCCTTCTGCATATTTTCGTGAATTTCATGAATTTCAGGTTACTTGTAGTTTACCTCATAAAATTTCCTAATGAGTTACTCCGTATTTTGTAATTTGGTGTTCTTTTTGGTGCAAGAGGATAATTGCCATTTTCGAGATAGTGTGAAGATATACTCCTCCGGTCCTAAATAAACTTCACACTTTCCTTTTTGGGTAGGTCCAAAATAATCTTCACACTTCTTATCCCTTCCTTATTTGGCAAATTATCTACATCAAAACAGTGCAAAACAGTACCAAACAGTGTCACAACAGTGTACTCTACAGTAAAGTCAAATTTATTTCCTTAATTTGTGTGAAGTCAAAGTGTGAAGTTTATTTAGGACCGGAGGGAGTATTATACAGTTCTCCTTTTATTTATTTGGGTCTTGTTTTTTTACTTAGGCTCCTCTGTGGATGATACATTTCTGAAGAGTTTGAGTGGTCTTCTAGATATCATGCAACCATTATTAAGGCTTCCATGGTCCAGTTCTGTATCAATTATTTCCCTCCCACCATGGAAGGCAAAGTGCCACTCACTGCAAGTACTGTCAAAGATTGGACCACTGTTGCAAAATGGAAATGGTCTTGAAATTTTGGATTTGGGTCTTTCTGATGAAATGGAGGAGGTTAGAAGAGAGGCTGTCTTTTCTATGCCAATGATAGTCATGTGGTGCGGTTTTGGTTTACTAATGCCTATATTCAAGAGATTGGAGTGAGTACAACTAACATTTATTTTCATCGGGTTAGCATACATAGTAATACAGTATGATCCCTAGTTGACACAGAGACTGGACTGCATGATACTTTCTTTAAGAAGAGTCAATATGTATGTTTTTCAAAGTAGATGTCATTCCATACCTTTTCACTTGCACTTAAGAATTACAATAATCCCTCTCTTTTTCTTTGAAGATTTTTTTTTGTAACGTGAGCCAGTTTGATCATAAGAAATTAATCATGTATTATTGGATCAGAGCAGGATTATTGGGAAAGAGATGGATGGACAAACTAAGAGAGTCATCCCCCATACACTTGGTTGTTTGGCATGCCTTTATGGATCTTATGGTGCTAGTGCTGCTCTATGTGAAAGTAAATGCAAATTATATATGCAGAAGAACAGAATACAAGATTTGAAAGTGGATGGTCGTTTGAGATTTTGGTGCTCAAAATGTGACACAAATGCATTCATTAATGGACGGAATTCAGAACTTCTACACTTGGTCAACACTCATGATATAGAAGATAATGCCACAGATTGTGATTATAATAATTTGCAATCCTTCTTCTTCCGATTGCTCTATGATGAGTCATTGGAAGACACTCAAGTTGCTTGTGTTGATTCGATTCAGCGAATTCTTCTCCACGTGACCAAAAGTATTCTGATCACAACAAGGTGTGACTGGTTAAAGTGTATTGATTACCTACTCCTGCACAGGAGAAAGGCTGTGAGAGAAGCATTCTGTTCACAGATCAGCTTTTTCCTCAAGGAACCAATTCTGGACTGTTTGTTCTTGGATGAGGCATCCAGCAAAGCCAAAGAACAAAAGTTCTTGGAAAAATTAAAAGATGCTCTATCGGCAACTGAAGATCCGTTGAGGTTAGAAACTCTTCTAGAAGCCACAGCAAATATTATGAATGCAGTTGATATACAGAGCCAGGTCTTTTTCACCTCCCTAATTTTGATAGTTGAGAAGCTTGATAATCCTCACTTGGCAGTGAGGATAATAGCAGCAAGATTGATAAAAGGATCTTGCTACTTCCATCTTAAAGGGGGATTTGAATTGATCCTTTCCAGAGTTCCTTGTCTCAGAAATAGATTGTATGATTATCTGTCTTCAAGGCTTGTAAGCTCTCCAGAACTTGTTGAAGAGTTTGCAGTGGGTGTGCTTGATGTTGGGACTCAAGTACTTGTGAAAAGAATGGTGCCTTTTGTTCTTCCAAAGCTCATTGTCACACACCGGGACAGTGATAAAGTAGATACAACCTTGGAAGCATTAGCCAAGTGTTCAGATGAGGATTTGGTGCCCTTTGTTGTTAATAGGCTTCCTAAAGTACTTGCTTATGCTCTACATCAAGCTGATGGTCAAGATTTAATCTCTGCCCTTCGGTTCTACCATGAGAAAACAAATTCTGATAACCAAGAGCTTTTCACTGCTACACTGCCCTTCCTCTTGGATGAACTTGTGTGTTTTACTGATGAAGATGTCAGAGAAATAAACAAAAGGTGCAATTATCAATCTTTTCCTGACTCAGTAATAGAGAAATTAAGTGAAAGTAGCCACTGCTATGTACTGGATACTCCCTCTGCCCCATTTTGTAAGATACAGTTTTGCGGGCCATGTGGCCCAACCTGTGTTAAAGCGCTTTGATCCAACTCGACTTTTCTTTTTTCCCTGTTCCAATAAGTATGAACGCTTCCTTAATTTGAACTCCTCTAACTTCCTATTTTCTCATTTTACACTATGTACCTATCATTTCACAATTTACTTTTGCGGTTCATACTACATTTTTTCCTTTTAGAAGGTTAAAATTCTAAAACAACAACTATGTCCTTAGTTTTCTTAAAATCGTGTCAAACCCAAATGTTTCATTTTGGGACAGGGTAGTATTATTTAAGGCCTTCATTAACACAAATTTCTCCTAGGACTTTTTCCTTGTAAGTAACATAACTATATGCATGGCTGAAATTATACAATTTCTTTGCAATCCTTTCCCCAGGTTGAGGAGGGTACCTGAGATGATAAAAGAAGTTGCAAGAATTCTTACTGGAAATGAAGATCTTCCTGAATTTTTGAGGAATCATTTTGCTGGTCTCCTTAATAGCATTTATCGGAAAATGCTTCATGCAGATGACATATCACTTCAGAGACAAGCTTTTAAACGGATTAAGATGCTTATTGATCTGATGGGTTCACATCTTAGCACTTACGTTCCAAAACTTATGGTTCTTCTCATGCATGCTATAGATAAGGAACCACTCCAGGGTGATGGCCTTTCTGTTATCCATTATTTTGTGAAGCAACTAGCACCATCTAGCACCAAACATGTGATTTCTCAATTGTTTGCTGTTCTTGTTCCCTTCTTAGAAAGAGAGAAAGAAAAACCATCACTGCACACGCCTAAAGTCGTGGAGATTTTGGAAGAACTTGTGATCCAAAATAGAGAAATCCTAAAAGAACATATTCACGAGTTCCCTCCATTACCCAATATTCATGCTCTTTCTAAAGTGACTAGTATAATACAAGAAGCGCGCGGCCCAGTGAACTTAAAGGATCAATTGCTAGACATTGTTGATGGGCTTAATCATGAAAATCTGAATGTTAGGTATATGGTGGCATCTGAGTTGAGTAAACTGCTGAACCTAAGAAGGGAGGATGTCATGGCTGTAATTACTAAAGAAGGCGATCCAATCACGGATGTAATGAGCTGCTTTATTACATCCTTACTTAAAGGGTGCGCAGAAGAATCAAGAACTATGGTTGGGCAGCGGCTGAAGCTGATTTGTGCTGATTGTCTCGGGGCACTAGGTGCTTTAGATCCCGCAAAAATCAAGGGATTTTCAAACACGCGCTTTAAAATTGCATGTTTGGACGATGATCTTATTTTTGAGTTGATCCACAAACATCTAGCCAGAGCTTTCAGAGCTGCCCCAGACACTATTGTTCAAGACTCAGCTGCTTTGGCTATACAAGAACTTCTTGAGATTGCAGGTTGTAAGGCATGTCTTGACAAAAGTGTTTCAGCTTCCACATCACAGAGAATGTGCAAGCAACCTCTGAAGTCACTCGTATCTAATCCAAAAAGCCTTGGAAGTTGCAAAGATTTATATGAAAGGGGTCAGAGATTGTGGAATCGGTTCTCTGATTATGTCAAAGAGATCATAGCTCCTTGTTTGACTTCAAAATATGAGCTTCTTAACGTGTCAGATTCAGCATCTTCTGGTGCCATTTATCGCCCATCTATGTCATTCAGAAGATGGATATATTTCTGGATAAAAAAATTGACTGTACATACAATAGGTTCTCGGGCCAGCATTTTCAATGCATGTCGTGGTATAGTCCGTCATGACATGCAAATTGCAATGTATCTTTTGCCGTATTTAGTCTTGGATGCTGTGTGCCATGGAACTGAGGAGGCCCGCCATGGTATAACTGAAGAAATTCTAGCTGTTCTTTGTGCAGCCGCATCAGAGAATAACAATGCTGCTGTCCATGGGGTCAGTTCAGGTCATAATGAAGTCTGCATTCAGGCTGTTTTTACTCTCCTTGATAATCTTGGGCAATGGGTTTATGATGTGGAAGAAGATCTCGCTCTCTCACAGTCTGTCCAGACATCCACTTCCAGGCAACAGGCAGATAAACTGAAGGAGCAGAACAATACGGAGCAGATGCTCATGCAGTGTAAGCATGTTTCTGAGCTTTTGGCTGCAATCCCTAAAGTGACCCTTGCTAGAGCATCTTTTAGGTGTCATGCTTACGCGAGGTCTCTGTTATACTTCGAATCTTATGTCCGTGAGACATCAGGATCTTTCAACCCATCCTCTGAAAAGAGTGGCGTCTTTGAGGATGAAGATATTTCGTTCCTGATGGAAATTTATAGTGGCTTGGATGAACCAGATGGTTTGTCCGGTTTTACTTCCTTACGTAAGTCAAAGCTCTTGCAAGATCATTTTTTGATAAACAAGAAAGCAGGAAACTGGGCAGAAGTTCTAACTTCATGTGAGCAGGCTCTGCAAATGGAACCTACCCCTGTTCAGAGGCATTCAGATGTTCTTAACTGCCTGCTAAACATGTACCATTTGCAGGGCATGGTTACATACGTAACCGGACTAATGACGAGTGTTCCTGAGTACAAGAAAATGTGGTGCATGCGAGGTGTTCAGGCTGCATGGAGGCTTGGAAGATGGGACTTGATGGATGAGTATCTCAGTGGGGCTGATAAGGATGGCCTTATTTGCAGTAGCTCTGAGAGTAATGCTTCTTTTGACATGGATGTTGCGAAGATTCTTCAAGCAATGATGAAGAATGATCAATTCTCTGTTGATGAGAAAATCGCATTGGCCAAGCAAGCTTTAATTGGTCCTTTGGCCGCTGCAGGCATGGACTCTTATGCACGTGCATACCCATTCGTTGTGAAGCTTCACATGCTGCGGGAGTTGGAGGAATTTAACATTCTTCTCGGAGGTGAATCATTCCTAGAAAAATCATTTCATCTTGTTGATCCGCACTTCCAAAAACTAATGGAGAACTGGGAAAACCGACTCAAACTCACTCAACCATCGATCTGGACAAGGGAGCCATTATTGGCTTTCCACAGGCTTGTTTTTTGTGCCAGCAGGTCCAATGTTTCCGTTGGAAATTGCTGGATACAGTATGCTAAGCTTTGCCGATCTGCTGGTCATTATGAGACCGCAAACAGGGCAATCTTAGAGGCCAGTGTTTTAGGTGCACCTAATGTCAATGTTGAAAAGGCAAAGCTTCTCTGGAGCACTAGACGAACCGATGGTGCCATTGCAGAACTCCAACAAACGCTTCTTAGTATGCCTGTTGAAGTTGTTGGTTCTGCAGCAATGTCATCAATCACTAGCCTTTCATTAGTTCCATTGAACTCTCCACCTCTACTCTCTAGTACACAGGCATTAAATGAGAAGAGGAATGTTGCCAAAACTCTCCTGCTATACACGAGGTGGATACATTATACTGGTCAGAAGAAGAAGGAAGATGTTATAAATCTATACTCTAGGGTGAAGGAACTCCAACCATCGTGGGAAAATGGTTACTTTTATATGGCAAAATATCGTGATGAACTGCTTGTTGATGCAAGGAAGAGACAGGAGGATAAAGCGGAGCTCCTTTCCAGGGTAGGGCCATCAAATTTAAACCCAGTTTCTTCTCCGAGCTTGAATGCCGAGAAATCTTGGTGGTCTGATCTCCCTGAGGTATTGTTATATTATGCTAAGGGCCTTCATAGGGGCCAGAAAAATCTTTTCCAAGCGCTTCCAAGATTATTGACTCTCTGGTTTGACTTTGGGTGCATTTACCATCAAAGTAGTGCTGACTCTTCCAGAGACATGAAAACCATCCATGGAAAGGTGTTTCCTTATTTCTTTAATTACCAATTAATTAACTTTTAAATTTGAGCCTTTCCATTTGTTTTATTTTGGATTATTATTATAGGCATCTCAAAACACGTGCAGGTTATGACTGTCATGCGAGGTTGTTTAAAGGATTTGCCCCCCCATCAATGGTTGACCGTTTTGCCTCAACTTGTTTCTAGAATTTGCCATCAGAATGAAGACACTGTTCGTTTGGTGAAGCACATAATTACTTCTGTTCTACATCAGTATCCCCAACAAGCTCTTTGGATCATGGCAACTGTCACTAAATCAACAGTTCCTTCAAGGAGGGATGCTGCTGCAGAGATTATTCAAGCTGCTAAAAGAAAATCGACTGACAAGGGCATGAACTCTTTGTTCACACAATTCGCTACCCTGATTGATCATCTAATCAGGCTGTGTTTTCATGCTGGTCAACCAAAGGCAAAAACAATCAACCTCTCAACTGAATTTAGCGCTTTGAAGAGGATGATGCCATTGGAGATCATTATGCCAACCCAACAATCACTCACTGCAAACCTACCCTCATATCATATGCCATCTGATAGTGTTGCATTCTCTCTGTCAGATCTTCCGACTATATCTGGAATTAGCGACGAGGCTGAAATACTGTCTTCACTTCAGCGTCCAAAGAAAGTAAGCCTTTTATACTCGTTAGCTGTGCATTGGATCTTCCGGATGCTTCAATTTCCACTAGGACCACCGCTCCCATTAAAACTGATCATCTTACTAGAATGGTTCACTTCCATCTTATGCATGACAGTTTGTTTATAATTTTCACTCTTTCACCTCCTATCTCTACTCATTACATTTGAGAATACCGAGAATTATACATTAAACTGATATTTCAAATTGCACCAGTCTGTCCAGATGAGGCAAGACGCAACCCTTACTGCACATTGGGGCTTAAACCTCAAAAACGAATTTATACTCCCTCTGTCCCAAACTAATTTTCGTTCTAGCAAAAAATGTCCCTAAATAATGAAAACATTCATTAAATTCAAGAATATTCATAATCAAATTCAATAACCTTCGCATAACATCCCCAAAGTAATAGGTTGAAGCATCACATAATATCAAAGATGCCTTATACGGATAACGTTAACCATGTGATTACATGGATTGATGGGTACTGGAGAGTGGAAAGCATGTTTATGTTGGGATCATTCAAGAGTGTGACTACAAGACTAGGTGTAATGAATGACTGTTTGGTTTTGCAGATCATTCTTTTAGGAAGTGATGGAAGTGAGCGGCCATTCCTTTGCAAACCAAAGGATGACTTGAGGAAAGATGCACGCATGATGGAATTCAATGCAATGGTTAACCGGTTGCTGTCTAAAAGTCCTGAGAGTCGGAGAAGGAAGCTTTACATTCGCACATTTGCAGTGATCCCATTAACAGAAGACTGTGGTATGGTTGAATGGGTCCCACATACACGTGGTCTTCGACAGATTCTCCAAGACATATATTTAAGCTGTGGAAAGTTTGATAGACAGAAAACAAATCCTCAGATTAAGCGCATCTATGACCAATGCCAAGGAAAAATACCTGAAGATGAACTTTTGAAGAACAAAATTCTTCCAATGTTCCCCCCAGCTTTCCACAAATGGTTCCTAAACACATTTTTTGAACCGGCTGCTTGGTTTAGGGCTCGGGTAGCATTTGCACACACTACTGCTGTTTGGTCAATGGTTGGGCACATAGTGGGGCTCGGAGATCGTCATGGTGAAAACATTCTGTACGATTCTACAACAGGTGACTGTGTTCATGTGGATTTCAGTTGCTTATTTGATAAGGGCTTACTTTTGGAGAAACCTGAGCTCGTTCCTTTCAGGCTCACACAGGTAAAGCTCCCCCAGACATTAAGAACCTCCATTTGGATCACTTGCGTTAGCAAAAGCTCATCTTCATCATTACACAATCCCAGTTTCCCTGGCAATTTTTGGCCTAAAGCTGCTTTGAATTACTAAAAGCCACCATAATACAAAAGCCACCACATGAGAGCTTTGTGTTTTAGTGTAAAATATTATCTTTTTAGACACTTAATTGTGTGTATTTTTTTTTGAGAAATCTGTGTAAAATTGCGTTTTGACAAATGAAACACATGTACCTTAACTATACATAAATGTTTCAACTGATAATAAATTTCTGGCCAACAAATTGTATGCGGCCGCTGAAATGCTATGCGTGAAGCCCACTTTACGTTACTTTTGTCCATGTCATCACTGTAGGTTGGACTCTACATATGAAATTTTGGTCGCCACATAGGATATTTTGGCCGGAAATTTGAATAATATTGTCGGTTGAAACATTTACGTATTGTTATGGTACTGATTTGTTTCATTTAAGAGTTAAGGTACCAAAATTCAAATTACCAATATATAAGGTATCATTTATGCATTTTACCCGTTTTTAGACTTGAAATTTTACCCTGCTTTTTTTACATCAAATGTCGAACACTTCTAACTCTCCAAAACATTTCCCCTCCATGATTGTCATTTCAGAAGCTACTTGCCAATAAGGTAGAATGTTCAGTTGCTACCTCAATCCCAAACTAAGCCCCAGAGGTTTCCTTCACATTATTTTTATTGGCATTTGCCAAGATGATTTATTGGGGTTTTAGGGTTTGAACTACTCTCTCACTGGGGTGGGTGGGTCGGTTCGTTTCTTCATTTTCAAAAATAGAAAAGAAAACTTATACTTATTAAATATTAACTTTGTGATGATGGCTTTGTTGTTTCTGTATTAATTTGTTCAATTGTAATTTGCAGAACATGGTTGATGGGCTGGGAATAACAGGATATGAGGGGATATTCTTGAAAGTATGTGAGATAACACTTTCAGTATTAAGAACACATAGGGAGACACTGATGAGCGTCCTAGAGACTTTTGTCCATGATCCTCTTGTGGAATGGACTAAATCTCATAAATCCAGTGGAATTGAGGTTCAAAATCCTCATGCACAGGTTGGTGTATGTCCTCTCACTTTTCTATTACAGTATTTTATGTGTACGTTCACACACTCGTTATGTGCAGTATGTATGCTTTACTCCACCATATCACTATCAGTTATTACTGCCATTAACGAAATGCTATGAGGCAGAGGAACCTACATTGGTTGATGTGCAGTTCTGATTTCCACTTTAGATTATTCGTCATATGCTATAATATTTCCCTGCAAATGTAGGTTCTTTTATTATTAGATTGTGAAATTAACTTTTTGTTATGCATCTATGCAAGCTGTGAGTTTTTTTGCTTTACAGTCTCTTTTAGGTAAACTTTGCAAAGAAAAAACTAACTTAGACATCGTAGAGCACAGACTCCAGTATTACTTTTTCATATTAGTTTTACTAAAAAAGTACTTAATGCTTTACTTCCAAAAAGGCGATGGAGGTGTAAATTGGAAGTGCAAATGATGAATTTTGCTTAATGCGAACTCCACTAGTTGTCGTGAATGAGTTACATAAAGATGAGCCGCACACGTTTTTTTAACGGAATATGATAAATTGGGTCATTTAAATAAAATACTACCTTTGTCCCATGTTTTTACATAGACCGGTTTCAGTCTCTGACCAGATCTAAATAGGCAAACGAGACTTAAACATACCAGACTAGACTTCACAATTGTAAAATGCACATAGACCAAGCATCTACCAGAGCAGACCAGATAATTTCAGATCAGACCAAACTTGACATAAACAAACCAGACCCAGAAAAGACTAGAAAATTTCAATCCAAGTAAAATCATCCTTAAAGCATACACCAATTACACCCACTGTTCATGTGGTCAATTGAACACTTAAAATATGGGATTTTACAATAGTGCAATGCCAAAAATCTATGAGTACTCTGCAAATGTAGAATAACATCCCCGTTATTTAAGCTCAAATTATCATTTGTTGGTACTCATCCCTGTTATTTACAATTACTCAATCCATACCTGGAAAAAGTTCATGATCTGGTTTAAGATGATAAATTTTAATACTCCCTGAATTATTATTAATAGTTCAAATTTATATATTTAGAAATTACACTAAAAGTTTTATAAAATTGTAATTCGAAAACTAAAAAATGATAAAAATATTCATATGTAAAATCCCGTATTTTAAGTGTTCAATTGACCACATGAACAGTGGGTGTAATTGGTGTATACTTTAAGGATGATTTTACTTGGATTGAAATTTTCTAGTCTTTTCTGGGTGTGGTTTGTTTATGTCAAGTTTGGTCTGATCTGAATTGATCAGGTCTACTCTGGTAGATGCTTGGTCTATGTGCATTTTACAATTGTGAAGTCTAGTCTGGTATGTTTAAGTCTGGTTTGCCTATTTAGATCTGGTCTGAGACTGAAACCGGTCTATGTAAAAACATTGGACATAGGTAGTATTTTATTTAAATGACCCAATTTATCATATTCCGTTAAAAAATGTGTGCAACTCATCTTTATGTAACTCATTCACGACAACTAGCGGAGTTCGGATTAAGCAAAATTCATCATTTGCACTTCCAATTTACACCTCCACTAGTTGCCGTGAATGAGTTACATAAAGATGAGCCGCACACGTTTTTTTTAACGGAATATGATAAATTGGGTCATTTAAATAAAATACTACCTTTGTCCCATGTTTTTACATAGACCGGTTTCAGTCTCAGACCAGATCTAAATAGGCAAACCAGACTTAAACATACCAGACTAGACTTCACAATTGTAAAATGCACATAGACCAAGCATCTACCAGATCAATTCAGATCAGACCAAACTTGACATAAACAAACCAGACCCACAAAAGACTATAAAATTTCAGTCCAAGTAAAATCATCCTTAAAGTATACACCAATTACACCCACTGTTCATGTGGTCAATTGAACACTTAAAATATGGGATTTTACATATGAATGTTTTTATCATTTTTGAGTTTTCGTATTGCAATTTTATAAAACTTTTAGTGTAATTTCTAAATATATAAATTTGAACTATTAATAATAATTCAGGGAGTATTTAAATTTATCATCTTAAACCAGATCATGAACTTTTTCCAGGTATGGATTGAGTAATTGTAAATAACAGGGATGAGTACCAACAAATGATAATTTGAGCTTAAATAACGGGGATGTTATTCTACATTTGCAGAGTACTCATAGATTTTTGGCATTGCACTATTGTTATAAAACATTAAAAGTGTTATAACAGATAATTAATGGCAATACTTTTGGCTGTCAAAATGCAGAGGGCAATAAGTAACATTGAAGCACGTTTGCAAGGCGTAGTTGTTGGTGTTGGAGCTGCACCTTCTTTGCCCCTAGCAGTAGAAGGACAAGCTCGCCGCTTGATAGCTGAAGCAGTGTGTCACAAAAATCTTGGAAAAATGTACATTTGGTGGATGCCCTGGTTTTAAGGCTTACCTTGTCAGCTGCAGCAGGCACGACTGAATTGCTCTATCAACTTGCAAACATTTAAAGCCCGTCAGGTAAGGCCTATCTGTATTAGCTGAAGTTTGGTAGAATGACTTGAATTTACTGAATTATCTAGTGACATTATCTAAAAATTTACTTCATGTTTACCTAACAAATCAAAGAAAACAATATAAAGATTGAAGGTTGAAATGTCATATTTATTTGTTTAGTCATTAGGGCATGAGGTGTGGCGAAAAACCTTGGTTAATAAATTCCATATACGGGGTGATTTTCCAAATGGGCTGTTATTTTCTTTCCTTCCCATGACAATTCTTTTTCTTCTAATTTTCAGGTGCTCAAAATCTAACATTTGGCCGTTGAATTCAAGGATTGGAGGTGTATGTTGTTGAGAAGTTGGATTCATTGCTCTCTCATAATTTTCGTCTATTTCTCATAGCACAATTAATGTCAACTATGCCCTTTTGGACGTGCATGATATTTGAAACAAAATTTGGATTCATCGCTGGCCTTTTATTATATAATGACATCCGGTCTTTGAGAACCCTCCCTTTGGCAACAAAGCATTCGTTATTCTTGCTGTCGTTCCTAAGTGGACAACCCATATGCTGCAGCAGCATCTTCACCAAACCCTTCACGGGGGATTTCCCATCTAATCGCGCTGTGGTTTCCCACCCCACACACCACCCTAATCTCGCTAGGCAGCTTATCATTATCTCCACTTTCACATCTTGATCTAACCTCTTCAAACCACGGCAACATGATCAGATATGCTGTCCCCAAATGCATACCATGCAAATCTAACTCCACTCCCCACTCCTCTTTCCTCTCTGTTGCCAGATTGAGAACCACAGAGCGCTCTTCCCTGCTAAGGTTAGCCACCAACTCTTCTAGGGAAAGAGGCAAATCCTCATTATTCTTTATGCTGTCGTACAGCAATAGGTTTAGTTTAGGGCAGGTGTTGAGCACCAAGTTGTAAGTCCTTATTGAAGCCGTCACCCCCAATCCTTCATCTTTTGTAGCCAAGCTGCCATCTCCAACAACTCACCATGGGCCCCAAAAGATGAAAGCACCATGTTCGAAGTGACCGTCTCCATCCGAAATCCTTCTCTCTCCATTTGAGTAACCATCCTCCCCATCTATTCAAATTGACCTATTATCCCATACCCATAAATTATACACCTGAACTCAAACCTGGATAGCATGATCCCTGCCCTTCTCATTTCCTTCATCAGCTTCTCGGATTCAGAAGGCAAACAGATATGATAGATGGCCTCGATCATGGACTTATATACGGATTGCTTTAAGTAAAGCGAGGTTGGGCCTGAGAGGAGGAGACGCTACAACTTTGCGCAACAATGGAGGACTGGTTCCCGTGACTTGTGCTTGGATTGGGAGTTGATTAGGTGACAGTAGAAGATACACAGTATGCGGTTCCCTCCATTGCTTTATCTGGAGAGTGTTTCTGCTGTTAGGGTCTCGGCTTCATCAAATTGTTTCTGTTTGTGTAGCAGGACAATGATGTCTGCTGCTAGCTTGGAATTCCTACTGAACCTAGGGGCTTGTGAGATCGCCAGATATAACCGCAAGTAAGGTCGTAATTAAATGTATCTATTTTGAATAACTTAAATACGAATATGTATGCCTAATTTGATTTGCTTCCGAATACAAACATGTGTAAATTGGACTCTATCGGATTTGGATATTCAAGTGCCAATTATTACATATAAATAATGTGTGTGTGTATGTGTGTGTATATATATAGAGGGCAGTTCATATCAGGAGCTCCTGACGGAAACCTCCGTGCGGAATTCACTGTTTGGGGTGGTTCCTGGTGATATTTTTTGATGATTTTTTTTGACCATGTTCTTCATCAAGTCTAGTTTATGCATACCAAATTTCAGTTCAAAATTCAATCAGGAAGGCAGTTACCTAAATTAATGAAACATATTGTGCATTATGTACATATATAAAGCGCAGTATGTTTCAAGAATTAATTTAACTGCCTCCCCGATTGAATTTTGAGCTGAAATTTGGTATGAGTAAACTAGACTTGATGAAGAACATGCTCAAAAAATTTCATCAAAAAGTTCCATCGGGAACCACCCCAAACAGTGAATTCCGCATGGCGGTTCCGGTCAGGAGCTCCTACTCGTACGGGACGATATATATAGTACTCTTCCGGTCAGGAATCCCTTACCGGAACCGCCGTCCGTAAGACGGCTTTTGGGGCCCTTCCCGCTGGAATTTTTTGATGAAATTTTTATGACATGTTCTTCATCAAGTCCAGTTCATCCACAAAAACTTTTAGCTAAAAATTCAATTGGGAAGGCCGTCAAATGATTTTTGAAAGATATCTGCGCCCAGAATATACATATAAAACGCAGTTAAATTCCAAAAATCATTTGATGACCTTCCCGATTGATTCTTTAGCTAAATTTTTGTGTGATACACAATAGAGCCTGTTTGGTGCACATGTTGACTTTTCTCAAAACAAGCCAATCTAAATAATTACGGTGGTGTTTTGGTAAATTTTATGTCGAACACGAAAAAGTGCATTGGGCGAGTTTCATTGTGATCACATTGGGGTAAACTAGTAATTCCACCCGTGCTACGCACGGGAGTGAGATGTTTGGATCAACCAAATATATACTCAAAGAATTTTATAGTCAATTAACCTAACTCAAAACATAAAATTAAAAACTAATACAAACTAATCACATTAAACAATAAAATAAAATAAGTATTCATATTTAATACGACATTAAAAAATAATGCTAAAAGTTAAGTACATATCATGAAGTGATATGCTAGCAATGAGTATGGATGTATGCATGTAAAGCAAGGGAACTACAAATTAGTATAAACTTCTTTGTATACTACATTCAACGCTGACTTCTTTGGTTTCCCTTCTTCGTCACATATAACAAACTTTAACCCAGACGGACTTGTTACTCTCGAGACAGCCACGTACAACTGTCCATGCGTAAAAATAGGACGACGGAGGAAGATGCCAACCTTTTCCAATGACTGTCCCTGGCTCTTGTTGATGGTCATTGCATAGCTAACCATTAACGGAAATTGCCTACGCTGAAAAGTGAACGGGAGACTAATGTCCGATGGTGTCAAAGTAAGGCGGGGAATAAGAAATTTTTCGCCGGCATTTTCTCTGTGCATCATCTGAGCCTCAATAATATGAGTTCCAAGTTTAGTGACCAGAAGTCGTGTGCCGTTGCACAATCCAGATGAATGATCGATATTCCTCATAAGCATCACAGGAACTCCAACTTTCAGCTTGAGCTCATGACTCGGTAAGCCAGAACATTTGATGCTATTAAGAAATTTAGGAGAATGTATCTCATGCAAGAGATCATTACTATCCGAGTCAGATGAAGAAACTGAATCTGAACTTAGGTATGTCTTTAACTCTGAATCTATCTGGCTCAACATGTAATCGTTGACCTTATCAACCTCATCTATGGTTGGAGCAAGAATAGCCCTGGAATAAAGATAATTAATCGGATCACCCTGGGTTAAGAAATTTGGATTAGTAGCTTGAACTATAGATTCAACAGGATCAGACGTCATTGGAGCAATCATATCGTCTGGTATTTCAATTAGTGATTCTCCGTCTTGATTTTCAGCAAAAGCTCTGTTTTTAGTAAGCCTCACTACAGTACAATGTGAGGCTGGCCGAGCATCCTTGCTAGCCTCATGTTTTTAGTAAGCCTCACTACAGTACAATGTGACCACAAGAATGAACTGTTCAGTGGGGCGTGCACAATATCTTGTCTCGTGCCTTTTGGTATCACAGGAAGAATTTGCCTAAAATCACCACCAAATACAATCGTCTTCCCACCAAAAGGCAAGGTAGTGTCACAGTGGCTGGAGTAACGAAGCACGTCTCTCATACTCCGATCAAGAGCTTCAAAACAGTGTCGGTGCGTCATAGGTGCTTCATCCCATATAATTAACTTAGATAACTCTATCAGCTTGGCCAACGGACTACCATGTTTTATGTTGCACGTGGAGTCTTCTACAACACTAAGTGGAATCGCAAACCTCGAATGTGCGGTTCTTCCTCCAGGCAAGAGAAGCGATGCTATACCACTTGAAGCCACGTTAAGAACTATATCACCGCGAGATCTCACAACCGCAGACAAAGTCCTCCATAGATATGTTTTCCCAGTTCCTCCGTGGCCATATAAAAAGTAGAATTTCCCGTTTCTACTATATACAGATTCCATTATCCTATCATACACAACACGTTGTTCATCTGTCATCTCGGCCAACAACTTTGTATGCTCCTCAATCAGATACGATTTATTATACCGCAACTCTTCATGAATGAGAACTTCTTCAAGCGAGGGCATTTCATCATCAGGTAGCAAGGGTATGCCAGCAAAATCACGTAGTGATCTACCTCTCGACTGCAAGAGCTTCTGAATCTCCAACAAACAGTACTTTTCAATTTTCTCTTTATCCAGTTCAAAATCTGCAGTAGCGCATTTAAATATTTTAGTACCTTAGTTAAGATTAAACTAATAAATCAAATATTCCACAATATATACATTTCATCACAACCAAATTACACATGCAATACTTCTAACTTTAATTAACATGCACATAAAGAAAACATGTTTACTAATTCAGTAATTAAATGTTGTATATTTTATTAAATTCATCACTCAGCATGAAAAGATGCATAGCTTTTTGTATTTTTTAAGTGAAAATGTATAGTAAAAATTAAGTAATAGTAAAAGTGCTATTATTTGTATTAATTGATAGACCTTTATTTGTTAAACCTTTTAGATTTTTTCTGTCAATTTAGTAAATATAATAAGTTCACTCTACGTATATTTTTTATACTATTATGAAAAAGCATCCAAAAGGCATATATAACATAGTAAGAAGTACTCCCATAGTAAACTACGTTACTGTACATGGTAACATAGTAGAAGGTATCGTTCATATTACCTAAATAAATATTTTGTAATAAATAATTTTAATAAGGTAATAAACTACTAACATTTAGTATATTCAAAAAATATTTTTTATGATGATCTTTTTCATATATATAAGTAATGATTAGCTCAGGTAGTTGTTACGTTAAACCCCGTTCGAACTTTCCTATCACAGGTAGTTCCCGGTGATAGTTTTTAATGAAATTTTGTGAGTATTCTCATCATCAAGTATAGTTTATTACCACCAAATTTAAAAGCAACTGCGCCAGAATGTACACGAAAAATGCAGTCATTTTCCATGATTTATTCAACTGATTTCCTGATTTAATTTCAAGGTGAAAATTTGTGGATATAATCTACACTTCATGAGGAAGGTTCTCATAAAATTTCATTAAAAATTTCCAACGGCATCACACCTGATAGTCAAGTTTGGACGGGGCTTCCTTGCAAAACTACTTGATGTGATCTTTTTCGTATATATATTAATATACTATCATGTACATTTTTTTATCTCACTTAATATGTCATTAGCTATGTATGTAAGACAATCAATTAAGTATTTCATCGAGAAGTAATTATTGTAGAACTAAAATATATAAATTTTTATAAGCGAGTAATTCACTAAAAATAAAAAAAGATGGTTTAGAATATAATATACCTGGATTACCCGTATTCTTGCGAATATTGTATAGTATGTCATCAGAGAAAAACTCCCAACACTTTTGCCACACTAAGCCTGGCTTCGAAAACTCATTTGAAACCAGTAGAGTAGCAAATACAATGCGAAGTGACCGTGAAGAAGACCAGAAGCTCGCATCTGTAATGCCATCAATAAACTCCTTGTCATCTTTAAGTAAACCACGCGCGTGGCACGCGTCTCTAAATGTAGGATATACGGTCCCTTCATAAATCCTCAACTCCTCAAAGTTGGTTGCTCCCTTCACAATATTCAATAATATTCGTAGGTAGTACTTCTCCCCATATTCAACATACTGCTCCAGGTCGTACATAATAAATGCGTCCAATAGCAAATCCTCTCTTCCTTTCTACCCATCCCATGGTATTTTTCTTCCACCTGAATTTGCTTGGAAACTCAACATACGTCAGCTCTTTGGCAGTAGGATACACTTGATTTGCTTTCATCCAAGCCGTGAATTTTGTGGAGTTGATTGTTGGTTTATTCAGTACTGAGCTTATAGATGCATTGGGATTGTAGTATACGTTCTGTGCATCAGGAAGATGAAAAGTGAGACGCTCAACTGGTACATCTCGATAATGAATATGGAATCCGAAAATTCTCCAAGCAGCCTCACATGCGGATATATACCGACAGTCATAGTACATCTTAATCTCATCTATTATTTTTGGAGTAGAGTTATCTATAGCTTCTGAGAACTCAACGGTTATCCGATCGTCACCCTTATTGATGTACTTAAATAAGTACTTAACTGCCCGTGTTTGGTTACACCACTCGACATTAATGTGAGCACTATACTTCAACAATAAGCCACGGTTGTGTGGGATGACATATCTATTATCGAGATCGTGGGTATTCTTAGTAACATACCTGCCGTTGTCTCTGCGTCTGTAAATCGGATAACCTTGCTTATCCATTGTCGTGCGAACGACAAATCTCTTTGGAAAGTGCTTTGTGCACCGGCCTTTTTCTGTGCATGGTGCAGATGCATTCATAGGGCCACATGGACCGTGGATCATCAATTCTTTAACTGCATTGTAATACACAGGGTCAGCATATTCATCTGGGATCTCTGCTGAAATAATTCTATCGATCATCACCGATGGGTTTGCATTGCGCTCTGTCATCGAAAGCCACAATACAATGTGCGCATGTGGTAATCCACGTTTCTGAAACTCCACAGTGTAGACAACTGCACAACAAAATTAAAATAAATGTTTTTGATTAATAAGATAATTAAATTAAAATTGTCAAGTGATTGTTATATTTTTTGCATATATAAATGACACATGTTCTTTCAAAAAAAAGTGACATGTGTGCTTAAGGATATACACATATAGGTTCTCTATCGCATAACATTTTTTATGTATTTCACATCATAATTCATCTTTAAGAAAATGTTTTTTATATTTCAAAATTAAACTGAACATAATATGAATTTCATTACTTTTGTAAAACCATAGTCGTCTATATTTATATGTTTAGCGGCCAATTTCTAAATCTGTTTTAAAAAAATATACAAAAACACAAATACATAGTACTCCGTATCTAAATCGCCTAAACACATACATACATAGAGAATTCATTTCATCCGGCAGTCCGCACCAGAACCACTGTCTAAATGTATGACTAATTTTCCTGTATGTCCGGACTGACCATAACAGCCATTCGGATGACGCAATCTGAGGACCTTCCCGGTGGACGTTTTTGAAGATATTTGGTGATGAGATTATTCTTCACGAATTTTTTATTGTCTCCAAAAAGTTTAAACTTAAAATTCAATTGAGAACCTAATAAAATAAATCATTAAAACGCACTGCCCAAAAATATGCATAAAAAACACATTGTCATTCAAACAAATATTTTAACTTACTTTCAGATTGAATCTTAAGCTCAAATTTTGTGCGAACGTTCATCATGAAGTTTAGATTATCTCCAAAACATTTTAGCTTAAAATTATACTGAGAAGCCAACTAAATAAATCATTGAAACACACTGCGCAAATATATTCATAAAAAACACAGTGTTTTGCAAAAATTTAGTTAACTTACTTAATGATTGAATCTAAAGCTGAAGGTTTGTGTGAATATATTGATAATGAAGTTTCAATAATTATCTCAACAAAATTTCATATCCAAATTATATTGGAAAGTCAGTTAAAAATTTTATTATTGAAATGCAATGCACCAAAATATGCATAAAAAATGCAGTATTTTTCATAGAATTATTTAATTGACTTTCCAATTGAATTTTAAGCTGAAAATATGTGTGAAAATTCTAAACTTCATGAAGAAAATGCTCACAAACTTTCATCAAAAAAATCGACTGCAAAGACCCTCAGACAGGCTTGACCTGATGACAGCTCTTGTCAGTCCGGACTGACCTAAGTATCCCCTTAAATATATTGCGTATTAATTAAAGATGGCATGTATCCCAAAATATATATCTAATTTTTTTCACATTGGTCTACAATCATTAAGAAGGTTTGTCATTTTAAACATTTTTTAATTACTTTATATTTCATGAAGATACCAGAAATTGAACTAATACTTTAGCACATAGTTCTTATTTATACACAGTCATGAATTTAAATATTACCTGCTTTGACATCACCAAATAACTTATTTTCCTTCAGATCCTTGATGAGAAGTTCGAGTTTTAGCTTAAAAACCCTGGAAAGGATATCCGGTCGGTCATTTGGATCCAATCCCTTGTCATCAACATAGCGAATAATCTCCGGCCATTTCGGATTACATGTAAATGTGATGAATAGTTGTGGGTACCCCGCCCATTTACATATAGCCATTGCATCTTGGTAATTTTGCAACATATAGCGTGCACTACCTGTGCCACAAAAAAGAAGGTTTGTTACAACATGTTCTTTTTCGGATTTCAATTTGATGGATTGCACAAATTACAAAAGAAGTGAATGATAATTTTATGTTGGCTTCTGTAGGACTGTTTGTCATTATGAATTATTTCAAAAAAAAACGTGCACTACCTGTGAAGGAATTTGGCAAAACAATTAATTGGTCGACTCTAGATGCATCCGTTTCTCCCCTTCCAGCAGCGTCTGCTAAGCCACTATATAAGTCACTTCTTAACTGTTTCTGGTGGAGACGGATGTACTGCAATCGTGATGATTCAACCATTGTATACCCATCAACAATGAATTGTTGAAACAATCTCTTTGATCTCAATAGATAAGGTGATTCATCAGTCCTCTCCTGCAATCTGTATGAAAAGAAATCTTTTATGGTGACACGCCTCCTCCCACTCTCGCTCTCGCTATTTATTGCACGCGTCAACGACACATCTTCTCTAAACCCATCTTGGCCATATGGAAATAAAAGTGGGTATTGCAAACCCAAGAAAGACGGGTTCAATTCAGAAATAATTTGTAGAGCCCCTGTCTTTGTTTGAAGAAGCACATCTCTTTCTTTTTTGTTTACATCAAAATCACCTTCAATTAGCGCTGCAACTTCATTGACACTTGGCATGTTGTAAGTGCGGCCTTCTGAGTGCCTTTTGCCGATGAGTTTCATTTTCAATGTGGTGGAATTAGACTCATTAAATCGATCTCTCGCCATTCTGAATGATTTTGCATGCACATTGTATGTGTCAAGCATTTCTTTCAAGTCTTGCACCAATGAAGATTGCAAGGAGGTATCATCCTCATTCCTGCATCATATTTATTTAATTAGTGGTACAGACGGAGTGATACTATTCAAGGATATTTAAAATAAGAAAACATAATAATTATATTATATTACAATTAAAGATAGATTAAAACTACTGAATTTGTTCACATAGAGTTTAGAACATTTGCTCACAAATTAACTATCATTTGAAAATAGTTGCTGAAACAATTGTACTAATGATTTTTTTTTTCATTTGTACAAAACATTATTACTCTCAACCGTATGCACTATTTTGAAGCATTAAAACTAATGTTTTTTAAATTCATTTTCCTGATCATTTAATGTTTTTAAAAGAGAATTTAATTCTCATTGTGAAGATTTAATGTTCATTTAATAATTGTGCTTTCTAAAAATTACCTTACAGCGTTTATTCTGTGTGCAATCTCTTCAGCTGGATCAGATAAGTACATCTGTAGAAACTTAGGTCGTTGTCCATCCTTTGGCAAAAGGCTTCCAATTGTGTGATAATTCTGACCATTCAATCGGAACACGGGAGGTGAAGTGCCACTATTTATGCTTCCATCAGTTTTTCCGCACATTGAAGTAAACGAAAACATAGAATTATATGAGCGTATATTTTTAAGGAAATGTCCACTACGCTCATCTGTGCCAAATATCAAAGCCCCTAACAACTGTGGGGGTGTTTGCATCTTGGGGAGTACAACATCTCCTTGATTGCAACACATTGAGAACTTTGGTTTTTGCTTTCCATGTCTTTTAACTCTTTCAGCATGCCAAAATAGAGATCCACAATACTCACATGTGTAAGTACTGTCACCCAGATCTAAATAATCTGCATACGAAAAATAGAAATAATCTCAAACATATTCCACAAATACTTAAATTCATTTCATTAATCTATTTAATAATAATGATCATATAAAAAATCTTTAAAATGTTCTCAATAAAAAATTACTAAATACCTTCATACGAATTAAATGCATATGATGCGTCTTCCACTGCAAATAAAAGAAATAATTATGTTTATAAATTAATAAATTTCATTTCATTTTGCTGATGTAAAAGGCACGATGGTTAAAAAATACTACTCGATGAATAACTCATAACCAATTTTAATTTATTTACCATCAAATGCGATCCCATCATCATCTGAAAATGTATCAGGTATCTCTGTGCACCTATCTCCTGAAAATAAGTAGTGACATGTGCATTTTAACACTCTAGTTATGCACATAATAATATATATAAATAAAAAAAATTAAATCACATGATACACGAATTATTTGAATAATATATATTTAAAAATTTATTACTTTATATTCATGGATTGAAATGTTGCATTCATTTATGAGTGTTAACATCGTTGATACCTTCAGTATTTTTATCTACTTCATAATATGTTCCATTGACATCGCC